GTGGTAGGTAGGAAGCAGAATCCGGGCTTTGCCCCTTGCTAGCTATATATCCTTGGGCAAGCTACCAAACCTGAGACTCAGTTTCCTCATCAGCAAAATGGGCACTAATAATAATGCCTGCCTCGTACGCTGAGATGATTCCACTGACCCCTACCAACCCCAAGCCCACCCCTGCCCCACGGTTCCTCTGTTTCCAAAACCACACGTCCCCATAAGCCCAGAGAGTGAACCAGTTCCCCAGGTTTCTGCCCCCTGTCTCCACCCACTTTCTCCTTCCTCCTGTGTGCTGGGAGCAGCTCCTCGTCAAGACACGTCACTCCTCACACTTCCTTCCGGGAAGACTCCTGAGCCCCCGAGTCTGACCTTGCAGGTGGCCGTGAGAAAAACAAAGGGCAAAAAACCATCTTGCATGGCCCCCTCACCCCTCCCAGGAGCTCCTTCCTTGGGACCCACTCTGGGGGCCCGAGCAGAGCCTGCCCCAGCTGACTCGGGCGGCGCGGGGCGGGAGCAGACGCGCGGGCAGGCTCTCCTGTTCAGGAAGCGCTGCAGCAGGTCTGCGGTCCTGGCGGAACAGGCTCTTCTCCCCGTCTGCCCAATGACTTGCCCAAGGTCATGGTTAGCAAGTTCTAGGGCTAGAGTTGAGAGTACCAAGAAATTGGAAACCACAGAAAGGTTTAAAAATAGAGAAATGGTTCGATTCATTAGATTACATCAAATTGGGAATACTATGCACATATTCAAGTCGTGTCTTCTAACAATTTTAATAGCATGGGGAAAGGTTCGTAACAGGTTAAATGTAAAAAGCAGAAGCCCTGGCTGGCGTAGCTCAGTGGATTGAGTGTGGGCTGCGAACCAAAGTGTTGCAGGTTCAATTCCCAGTCAGGGCATAAGCCTGGGTTGCAGGCCATGGCCCCCAGCAACCGCACATTGATATTTCTCTCTCTCTCTTTCTCCCTCCCGTCCCTCTCTAAAAATAAATAAATAAAATCTTTAAAAAAATAAAAAGCAGGACACAGAGTCTGATCTCTACTTTGTGATAGAGATGGGTTTACTGGCAAACATATAGACAGATAACGCCCCCCCCTCAGCCCCGCTGCTCCCAGGTGTCCTGTGTGGAGGGGACAGAGAGGCACAGGCTGACCGGAAGGCGGCTGCACCCCGGGACCCTGGGACCCCAGCCGGGACCCCACCTGTGAGTGCCGTTTCAGTGGGACATGACAGTGAGCAGCAGAAGAATCAGAATGTTGCCAGTAGGTGGTGTTTATAAAGTATTTATTTTCCATTTTCTTAAAAATAACATTTGATTTCCATTATGCATGTGCGGAGTGTACTTATTTCCTTAGGCAGAGTGATAGGCAGGTAAGGACAGCACGAGGCAGGGACCCCACGTGGGGGTCGGGGCTCGGTGTGCGGGCGGGGGCCTCGGGGAGCGGGGGGGGGGGATGATCCACGGGACGCTCAGGTGCCCACCAGTGCACACACACGGTCTAACACTTTGTTTTTCAGTTTTTAAAAAGACATCTAAAATTACTGAGAGATACAGTTTCAGCACTTAAATATACAGACGGAAATCCAAGCACTTGAACACGATTCTTAACTCTAAGCTCAGTTATTGCACATGACACAGTTTAATTTAAGTAGCTTCAGGCTATAAAGCAGCTTGCTCTGCTTGGGACTTCCTTGAGTCCCCTTCGCACGTCGAGGGGCCCCTCCCTGTCACCCCTGCCAGCCCACAGCCTCGTGCCCGTGCCAGGTGTCCGCAGACTAGCCGTTCCTTCTCCCCGAGGGCTGAGGGTGAGGCTGCGGTGAAATGGAGGTTCCCACGTTGACCCCAATGGACCCGCCCACTCAGAGGTGAGTGGGAAGCAGATGCGGCTCATGAGAGGCTGAGTGAGCGGCCTGCCCACTAAAACTAGACAGGCTGGCAGGAGGGAAGAAGGGTGACCGCTGACCCCATAAGGTCACAGCCCCAGTGGGACCATAGGGGCCATCGTGATAGCCCATCACACTCTTATCAACGTCTCCTCCCCCTCCTGCTTCCCGAGCCCCGATCCACGCTGTGCCGCCTCCCCAATCCCCCTGGGACCCCCTTTGAGTGTCTCTCAAGGCACATTTGTTCTCTCCAGCTCCAGCCTACCCCTCTTAGACAACGCCCATCTCTCCCAGCACCCACCGGATAGGACGTCTTAGGCAGCTTCAGGGCCACAAGAAACTCTTAAAATTCTGGTTGAGCTCTTTTCAAGGCAGCCCTAATTCCACTGCCTGCATAACCCGGGGGGATGGGGACAGGATGGACAGAGGACATCCAAGTAGAGGGGCGCGGGAGGGGCCAGGTGGTGGGCAGCTCGGTCAACGGCATGAATCCAAGGAGCTGAGGGAGGCCCCCCCACCCCTGCTCACGGGGAACCCGCAGCTTGCCGAGGAGAGGTCCCTGGGAGGCCTGCAGCCCACTGGGAATGAGCTGCTTTGTCTGGCTTTGGGGGGCTCAGTCTCAAGAGTATGGTGAATAGCAGTGTGGAGGCTCCAGACACAGGGCAAGGCTGGACTCCTGAGTCCACCAGGGTCCAGTTCAGCGCCTTTTGCTTTCTTTCTATGACATATTTACAAGGTCATAACAACGTGCACAACCAGAAGACCCAGAGACACAGAGAGTATCCCCCGCCCACTGGAGAGGAGGGTAACAGTGAGGGGGAAGGGCGCCCCTTCCTCTCCCGGCCCTGCCCCCCCAGAACACCTCGGCGTCCTCAACAGCTGGCCCCAGGAGGACATTCCAGAAGCCTGAGCTGGGGCAGAAGAAGAGACAGACAGACTTCAATCCTGGCGAGGGCAGGAAGTTTCAAGTAGCTCCAAGTGAGAGAAGGGGCTGCTCAGAGAGCAGAGGGCTGGCCGGAAGGACATTTCCCTGACCTGAGCTGAGCTGGGGACCAGCGGGAGGATGTGGGAGGACAGGGAAGGGGAGTGGGGACACGGGACATGGGGGATCTGGAACAGCGTGACACCTTAATGATCAGAACCTGTGCTGCAGAGCGAGAAGTGGTTTTTATGGGGCTAACTGGAGTGTCATTACTTTCCCCAAGAGAAGACTTGGAAGATGTGAATTCCAGGGTGGCAGCAAGGGGCAGACTGGGGGAGGTTCTTCCATCAAGTCCAACAGATGCGGCGGGTGCTGCAGAAGCTGGGGAGACCTGGGCCAGGGCCTAGTGCGGGGAACCTCACCAGGTGGGGACCCCACAACTTGCCACCCATCCAGCACGTCGGGTGCCCCTCCTCACATTCCAGGCTTCAAGGGATGGTCCCTAGTGTCACACAAAGTGTGCACATGTGCACGCATACAAGCACACACACACACACACACACACTCTCTCTCTCTCTCTCTCTCGCATACTCACACTGCCCGCACCATGCACTGAAGGGCATCAGAGGCCCAAGCCTGGGTAAGAGATTCTTCACCCGTGGGGCTAGGGATTTGCTTCCAGAGGGAGGACTAGACAGGTTGGGAGGGATGGGCACCTTCTCATCCAGCCTAGCTCCCTCCTGGTAGAGATTTGGGGGAACAGTGAGGTGCGGCCTCAGGGCCTGGCTGTCCCAGTCCCTCCCCTCTGACTTTGCACAACCCCAGAACACTCCCTTCAGAGCTCGGAGAAGCCCCTCCACTACAGCAGCCTCAGGGGACCCCCAGAGGGGACAAAGCAAATGCTGGGAACTGAGGAGTGAGGCTGGAAACGTTCATGGCCCAGAAGCACCTCCCCCCTGAAGAGGCGAGATGGAGAAAGGTCAAGGTCTCTGCTGCAGGTTTCCTCTGCTCTTCCTTCACAGAGTCTCAGGGAGAACCCTTTCTATGGCCTGCGCGGGAGGGGGCATTTATTAAGGGGTCAGGGAGGAGTTGGAGGTGGGGGCACACGTAGGCCCCGGCAAAGACCCAGGCTCTTCACCCACCACTGCCTGACCCTCAGGCTCCCAGAGCGGACCAGGGCACCCCAGCAAGGGGGGCAGGGCAGACACGGCACCTAATGTGGCCAGGCACAGCTCACTTATGTAACAGCTACCCACTGCCCCCAAGGAAATGGCCCCCACCGAAGACCCACAGAAAGAGGCTGGACTGTTCTTTCATCCAGGGCTGCCCCGTCTGGGTGTGTGGGGCAGCCTCTCCTGCCCGTCAGCCCTGCCCCACACCAGGCAGCACAGCAAGGCCTCCCTCCCCCTGTGTCTCAGCTTGTGTCCCCAGCTCCTTCCTGGCCACCTCGGTCACACTGGCTTGGGCGAGAAACGTTTCTCTAGTGTCACGGAGCCCCGCAAAGGGAAAGGGCTTGCTGGGGTGGGCATCCTGGCCCGTCTCATCTGAGGCTGGAGGGGCAGTCACAGCCCAACTGGCCGAGCTTTGGGAAGACCCCCAGCCAGCAGAGAGCTCCTTGGCCTCCCTCCCCTCTGCAGTGGGGACAGGCCAGCAGACCAGAGCTTGGCCCCAGAGCGGGAGGAAGCAGGGCAGGCCAGGGCGGGAGGAGTCGGGGCTGGCTGAGCTGAGGGTGGCCAATCAGGACACGGGTGTCAGGGCAGGCCTGGATGCAGCCAGGGGACATGGTGGAGGGGCGTCTCGTTTCATCGACGTTGACCTTTCAGTGGGCGTACGTATGTGAGAAGGTGCGTATTTGAAAACAACAAATGGAAAGAAAATAACTACAAGGAGGCCAAAGGTCTTTGGGTGACTCACTCTGCCAGGAGCAGTGTGGACCAAGGACACGTTTGTCAGTGCACGCTACACACACGCACGCGCACACACACGCACACAAGCACAAACAGGCATTCCTACATCCCACAGGCGTGCCGGGCACACTCCCACCCTCACTCCTCCTGCTGAAGCCAGGGCCCTCCCAGTTGTATCACCCGCAACCCCCCATGAGCTGCCTGCTGCTCTCCAGGTCTCCGCTGGCCGGTCCCCCTGCCCTGCCCTCGGGGCACCGTCTACCAGATGTAGCCTCCATCGTCGGCCTCGCCCGCCTCACCCTCCTCCTCCTCGGCCTCTTCACCCGCTTCCTCCGCTTCCTCGGTCTCCTTCTCCTCCTCGTCCTCCCAGCCGACACCACTCCCAAAGTCCCCCGAGAAGCCCACGATGTCGTCTGTGAGGTGAACGAGCCAGGGTCAGGCTAGGACCCTGCTGGCCGCCTCTCCCCATGGCTAGCCGGGGATCCGCCCACCACGCGGGGCCCCACGCAGGTCCTCCCAGCGGGTCAGAGCCCCGCGCTGCCGCCCAGCCCTTACCGCAGTCGGGGCTCCCGCTGGTGCGGGTGCCGGTCAGCTCCAGGCCCAGCTGGTCCACACACCAGCAGTCGCCGCTGCTCTGGTCGCACTGTGTCTTCCGGTAGTAGCCGTCCTCATCGCAGCTCGGGATGAAGACTCCTGGGTGGGGGAGGACCCGGCGGGGTCAGAGCAGGGGCCTACAGGTACCGGCTCTTTGGGGAGGTAGCCCTGGAGCCTTGGACACGGGCAGGGGCCAGACCCCACCAGCCCAGGCCCCAGCCAACCAACAAGCCTGGACGCCGGTGTCTCTTCCGGCTGCACTGACTGGGGGCGAGGAAACCCACCTCCCTGAATGACCCGCTCAGGCCCCGTGCCGGCTCCCTTTGGCCTCCACCGCGTCCTGGGCTCGGTGGCTCTCGTCTTGTCGGTCGGCCAATCTGATCTCCTCGCACTCAATGCCCTCCGCCCACGGCGGCACCCCACCCTGGCTGTCCCCGGCTGGCAGTGCCCAGGCTTCTCCTCTCGGCCCCTCTGACTCTGACCTGCCCTCGGGGCCCACCCACTTTCCCTCAGGCTCCGAACCGCTGCCTCTCTGTCCACTCAACAGGCATCTTCTGTGACAACCACTCTGGGGGCCCAGAGATAGACTCTGCCCACTTAGGGGGCTGGGACACACACAGAAATGATAACACCAGGCCCCAAGGATGGGCGCGTGAAGGCTCGGCAAGCGTGCTTGGGAGTACGGAGGAGAGAGGGTCACGATGGCTTCCTGGCAAAAGTGGCGCTCAAGTCCACCCCTGAAGGCCACTGGGCTCTCAGTCCACGTGGGTTTGCAGCTTGGTTCCATGCGCCAGACTCATCAGCCCAGGTGCACTCCCAGGTACACGCCCAGGTGCATGCCCAGGTGCTCTCAAGAAGCCATGAGGCCCCACGTGACCTGCCTCTCAGACCTCTGTCCCCACAACAACCACATTCCAGCCACACGGGGCCTTTCTTTCTGCCCCCCAAAGACTCCGAGTGCTTTCCTGCGCTCAGCTCTGCGCTTGGCTGGCTCGCTCTCCTCCCTCTGGGCTCCCCTTGGAAGCCAGCGCCCCAGAGAGGCCTTTGCTGAGCCCCAGGTTAACTCGTGTCTACCTGAGCGCTCCCTCAGCACCACACATATGCTCGCCCCCGCAGGCGGTGCTGCCCTCTCTGGTGTGCGGGGCTCCCCAGGGCATCTGGGCACTCTGCGAGGCCAGGGCCCCCGTCTGTGCTGGCCGTCCGCTCTGACCTGCTCTGGTTTGTTGTTGTTTCTCGGGGCTGAGTGGTGAGTGTCTGCTCTGGGGGGCCTCACCCAAGCTCTGCACTTGCTGCTGCGGGACTGAATAAAGTGCAGGGTTCTGAGAACCTCTGGTATCCCGGCCTCTAGCTCCGATACTGCCGGGACAAATGAGCGCTGAGACACACTCACTGAGGGCTGGGTGGGCGGCCCTGCCCCACCACAAGGGAGTCTTCTTGGGCCAGGTCTCCTCTGGGCTCAGCATCCCCCCTAATACCCAGGGGCTGGGCCCTCTGGGTCTCAGGGGGACCCTGGGGCACCCATCCCGCCTCTTCCTCGGAGCCCAGCCAGACCCTCACCTGGCTTCTTCTTGGCGGCCTCCTGGATCTGGATGCGCTCCAGCTCCACCAGGCAGGGGGGCTCTGCAGGGAGAGAAGCAGCCTGTGGTGGGACTGTCCCGTGGGGTGGTGGGATTCACTCTGCCCCCTTCCTCGCGCTTACAGACCCAGACAGGGGGCTCTGCAAGATGCAATAGCTGGGCTCAGATCTGGAGCTGCCCCACGGTGGTGGGGAGGTGCACTGATCCCTTTAATGTCCCCAAAACTGACGCAGGGACACCATGAGACAAAGCACTCAGGCTCCAACTCGGGGAGGCCAGGCCATGGCTGTGGGGTCAGGCTGAGTTTCTCAAAAAGCCCAGGGCTCTCTGAGGGTGTGGGTGACCCAAGGGGTGAGTAAAAAGAATTCAAAACAGGGGTGAACACACACACTGCCCAGGGGCAGAGGCCCCACAGGGACCATAAGACAAGAGAGGATGTTGGCTGGAAGCCTGAAAATAACTGGCAGCTGAATCTAACTCGTCTGTGACCTTGAAAAGTCCCCTCGCCCTTCCCAGCTGGAGGCCTGGCTGCTGGTATGATGCGGTCTGTCCCCAGGCTCCTGCTCACAAAGGCTGGAGCACAGAATCAACAGAGTGGGCTCCAGGGGCCTGGAGAGTAAAGGTGAGGGAGCGAAGCAGAGAGCTGGCAGGCCGGGCAGTTAGGGGCGAGAAGACTGATCAGAAGACCTTGTTTGGCAGAGGGGTTTGTCATTTACACAGTGCTCGCACCCAGACTTTCTCAGTCCATCCTCACAACCGTCTCTGAGGTAGGCCCTGTTACCTTTCAATTCAGATGAGGAACCGAACTCAGAAAGGTTCAGGTACCTGCCCAGGGTCCCAAACCAGCATGTGGTGGAGCTCCAGCAGGAGCCTGAGCCTTGGGCCATGGATGCGATACTACTCTTACCCCGCAACCACCTCTGGGGCCAGGAGGCGCAGCAGGGCCCAACCCAGGGGCTGCACCGGGCAACTGACCCCTGGGGCCTCAGTTTCCTCACCAATGACAGTTGCCACTTGGCCATGATCTCTAAGCACATGTCCAGCTGAGGTTCAGTGTATATAAAGCCAGCAAATGATGCAATATCTCGAAGGCTAACGATCACCTACATAGTCATGTATTTGGGGCAAATGATGGGAGATGAGCCCAAAAGTGGAATCATGGAAAAAGCCAAAACAGCTTTAGCTTCAGGACCTGCCAGCCCCTTCCAAGACCCTCCAAAGGCCCCTAGAAATGTTACATTTGTAGTGTTTCATACTTTATCTTTAGGAAGGCCTCCAACTGTACATAAGCTTCAGGACCCACACCATCCGGGTCCACCTCGCAGCCTGCCAAGGAAGGGAGTTTAAGAGTTGGCTTCACTGAGCGAGTGCAGGAAGTGGGTGAGCTGGGCAAGTTTTCGGACAAGATAGCTGACCAATATGGAACCACCCCGACTCCTAAAGAGACCCCAGAGCAAGGGGCAGAGCCCCGGAGGGCCAGGGGCTACACTCACTTTCCCTCCAGAAGCAAAAACACCACTCGGCGGTGGAGACACGGCCATCCTTGTAGGTGTCACAGGAGTTGAAGAAAGGGCGGATGCAGACCTCGTACTTGTCCAGGTTGATGGCGGCCAGCTCCATCTGGTCCAGGAAGAGGTCAGCACTGGTGTCCAGCTTGGAGAACATCCAGCCAATGGAGTCCTTGCAGCTGGCCCCCAGGCTCTTGTCCAGGCCTGGGGAGATGACCAAGGTTCTGACATGCCCAAGGTAAAGAGCCCCATCCATCTGTCCATCCGCCCTTCACCTTTCCGCCAGCCCCAGCCCTCTGTTCAGGGTCAGCTCCATCTCCCTGCCTCTACCTAGGACTGCACCTAAACCATTCAAAACTCTGCTTGAAAGCCCTTCAGAGAAGGTAATTCCTTACCTTCCCTTGGCTACATTTCAGGGCCTTTGCTCCCCCCACCTATTTTAAGAAGTTCTTCCTATCAGCTAACCCGAATCCCTTCCATCTGGTTGAAGCCTACTGTCCCTGGTCCTCGGGTTTAGGCTCTTTTAGAGGCTCGGAGTCTGGCAGGAGGAAGGACAAGGTGGGTTTGTCCCAGGGCACACCTGTCTCCCCATCTCCCTCCCCCCAAACCCCAGGCTGAGCAACCAGCTCCAGTACCGCTGGCCGGGCTGGCCCCGCTGCTGGCGGAGCCGTTCTGCTTGGAGTTCTCGTGCAGGAGCTGGAACCAGTCCCGTAACCGGTCCCCCAGGTCGGCCAGGTCCTGACCTGTGCAGATCTCTGCAGAACAGCAGGGGGTGGAAGGTGAGGGTGAGTGAAGCAGCAAGCATGATCTTAGCTTGGGATGATGCCCTACAGGCCGGGATGCCACAGGAAGGGAAGTCAGAAGTTAGAGGCTCCTTCTCCCGTCTTCTTCCTCCCCCTCACTCCCTAGCACTAAAGACCCGCAGCACGGCTCCCTGTGGCTGAGGCCCAAGCCCTCCTGGTCTGTGATGGGGTGGGGACCCCAAGCCAGTCCCTGTTTTTGCCACTTCTCCTGCGCCGCTCCGCAAACCTCCCTTGCCAACCTGGAGCCCTGGCAGGGAGGCCCACCCCACCCCATCCCAGCTGTGGCCCAGAGCTCCGTTTTACCCGGTTTGTCATCGGTGGTGGAGGTGGTGGCCTGCTCCGTGGGGCAAGGGCAGGGGCCCTCACACCTCACTGTCAGCTGCTTGTTGCTCAGGCAGGCCTGCTGTTCCAGCTTACACTGCACAAGGTGAAACATCAGGTCGTCAGGTCCGTCGGTGACGGGGACTCACCCCAGGGGGCCCTGCAGCTAGGGACACCGACGTGACAGGAGGACAGTCCCATGCACAGCCCACCTGGTCCCTCTGGTGGCCACGGGTGCAAAGTGCAAGGGGCAGTACACCCAAGAAGGGAGTTCTAACAATCTAATGCACCCATGAACCCCACTCTGCACATTTATCTTTCCCAGGATGTCCTCCTCCTCATCCCCTCACCTCCAGCCACCCACCTGCCCCTTTTAACTATTGCTCACCCGCTCCGTGTCCTCAAGGCCCCTCTCTCAATGGCCTTTCCACAGTTATCTCCCTGGGCTTTGCTCATCCCCCTTGATAACAAACAGCTACCAGCTATTAAACATCTGCTAACTCCTGGGCCTTTACTGATAAAGCCAGCTGCTGAGAGAGGCTCATCCCGTCCTTGCCTTTAACACCTTTTCCCCTGGTGGCATCTGTTTTCTCCCCGTGGGGTGGCCACTAATGAGAGGCAGGTCATAGCACGGTTATAGCATCATCCCGCCTGCTCCCCTTTAGCTCTGGGAGGGAGGGATTGTGTTTCTTATGCTCAGCAGAGAATGTGGGAGCTCAGAGAGGCCCAAGGACTGGCCGGAGGCCACAGGGCAGTGATGGAAACCGGACCTCCCGATGTCCTCCCTCTACCTTCCCACAGGACAGCACCATGACCCCTCAGAACACAGCTTCCTGCCCTCGGGAGCATGACACAGCACCCTGCTCCCACTCCTGCTACTCCCACGACCTCTGTCTGGACCCCTCAGTCCTCCCTACCCCACCTGCTGCCACGTGCAGCTCCTGGTCTCAGCCTCTTGCTTTATTCTCTCTCCCCACTCCCTCCCGTAAACGGGTGACTTTATCACCCACTGCGGAGCGGGGCGGGGGGGGGGGGGCTTGTCCTTAAATCTGCATGTCACCCCCAAAGCATTCTTAAGATCTAGAGTCCAACCCAAGCTAGCAACCAGTGCCCCCAAACTCCCTACTCTTCACTGCCGTTGGAAGCATTCACAATTAGCACCTGCACTTCTGTGGCATTTTAAAGTTTATTAAATCCTTTCACAAATATTGTATCATTTACTCCTCACAAAAATCCCATAAGGTAGGAGTTCCTTCCCCCAACCTATTCTTCCTTCCCACGTTGTCACCGCGGGGATGGTACTTCCTCCTGCCCCAGAATGCCCGGACTTGCTGCTGAGCACCAGCCCCTCCGTGTGGGATCTGCCTGTGGGAAGCTCCATCCTTCACCCCCAGCCACCAAATCACAGATCTCCTTCCTTCCTTCTACAGCCCTTGGTACTCTCGGGAGACCCTTGCCTCCTTTTGTCTAATTGGCAGTGACCTGTCCCCCTGCCTCCTCCAGGCCCCACCCCCTATCTGCACCTGCCTGAGGTCAAGGGCAAGGTCTGGTTCACTCTCAGGTAGCCCCAGCCCAAGGCTCAGGCGTCTCTACTCCAATGGGCCACATTGCAGGCACTGACGCAGCCCTTCCGGCCCCACCTCTGCACTGGGAGTCCCTCAGGAGCCTCTGGCTGGCTGTTCAGTTTAGTCCTCTCTGTGCCTGCGGCCTCAAGTACACCGCACCCCCACCCCACCCCCTCGGCCAGGGTCCCTCACCACCGAGCTGTACGTGTGGCCATCAGAGCCACAGACGGAGGCCAGCTGGGCCATGTGACAGGGCTTGCAGGCGGGATCTCTGTTTGCATGGAGTTTCAGGGCAGGTTGCTTGATCCTACAGGAGAAGAGGGTGGGGAAGGCACAAGGGCAGAGGTGAAATGAGGGAAGGTCAGGGAAATAGAAGGTTCAGGAAAACAGATCCAAGAAGAAGCTGGTCCTAGCAACCTATAGTAGATGCAGCTGTCCCCCTAACCTGGCCACCCTCCCCCCACCTCCAGCCAGACCCTCCCCAGCTCACAAGGGCGGGACCACGGGAGTAGGGAGCAGGGTCTAGACTCCCAGACTCCCAGCCTCCCTTCCGGGCTGCCAAGTTGGCAGGGCCCTCCGGCAGCAGCTCCGGGTCCCACCGCGAGATGTGAAAGGGGGCCACTTGTGGCTGAAGCGGTCGGACCAAATCCGAGCCTGCGCACTGAGGGCCCACAGGCCGTGTCTGGCGTGCAGGCTCATTGTACTTGGCCACCAAGGTTTTTTGGTTTTAGTTGAGCTGTTTGCCAACATAGACACAATGGAAGAGCTCACGTAGAAACCTGGATCCCTGGCCTTTCTCAGTGACATGGAAGAAGTGGCGTCCGGGCCCGTACTCCCCCATGGCCCTCGTCAGCCAGTGCCCCTTTCCACAGGGCCGGGGCTCGCCAGCGTGGCCCGTCACTGACCTCTCTCCAAAACTTACATTACCTGCCAGGCCCCCGCAGGCACCTGAAACTGTAACCGAAGTCTCTGGGCTCTGTTCTATGATTCAGGAAGAGGGGAGGGAACTGGACCTTTTCTAGGGGTCTCGGCACCAGGCAGGTGCTTGTCCTTGGACTAGAGTTAAGGCCTCAAATGCTCCTCCTCCCTCCCCTCCTCTGAGAGCCTCAGAAGCTTCAACCTTAAATATTTTATGAAGTCACTGTGTGTCGGAGCTGGAAGGAGCCTCAAGCTATCTGGGCCAACCTATTTGTCTCGCAGATATGGACACGAAGGCCCGGAGAGGCGCTGTGACTTTCCCAGGATCCCATACGTCTGGGGACAGATCTCTCAGTGTGGTGGCTTTAAATTAGTCCACACATTCCCTGAAACCCCTCCCTTCCAAAGATGGAGCTGCAGTACCCCCCTCTAGACGGTGGTGGCACTTATGACTCGCCCCTAACAAGTGCAAGTGGCCAGAGTAACAATGCGCAATTTCCGAGACTGGGTCACAAATGACGTGTGGCTTCCTCCTTGCTCTCCCCCTCCTGCAAATGACTCAGCTCAGGGTGAGCCAGCTGCCATGTTGTGAGGACCTGCAAGCATCCCCGAGGAGAGGTCCACGTGACCAGAAACACAGGCCACCAGCCCGCAGCTGCGTCAGAGCTTGGGAGGGACCCCTCCAGTCCCAGTCCAGCCTTCGGATGATGCAGCACCACCACCCCACCCCCAGGATGTCACACCCTGAGCCAGAACCATCTGACAGAACCGTCTGGATTCCTGACCCTCGGAAAACGTGAGACAGTGCACGTTTGCCATTTTAAGACACGCAGTTTGAGGTAGTCTGTTTCACAGCAAGAGCTGACTGGCACGTGGGAGAGGGTCAGCTGAGCCCTTGCTCTGTGAGCAGAGCCTCTCCAGGGCTGCCACCTGCCCCAGCCCCTCACCTGTGCTCCAGCTTCTTGCGGCTGATACACATGGCCCGCTGGAAACCCTGGGCGATGCACACTTTGTGACGGCTGCACTTCACCTTCTGGCAGGGGTCCTTGGTGGTGTCCAGGGCTGCAGGGACACACGATCAGAGCTCCGGTCAGCTGGGAGTCAGTGCTAGAGATCCCAGGACTCCCAGTCCCACTTTGGGGCTCGGAAGCCCCTCTCTCCAGCAGCTCTTAATGACCAGAGCTCCTCAGCTCCTTGGCTGCCCAAGGAGCCCCCAAGGCCAGGGTGAGGACTTGTCCTCTGGCCTCAAGTCTTGATAGGTGTCAGTCACGTTCCCTGACCTGGGAGGGGCATGTTACCTTCATCTCCTTGCTGATTGTCCTCCCAACTCTTGATGTAGTCATCCTGGGGAAGGACAGTGAGGGGCAGGGGAGAGGGAAGGGTCAAGATTTAGGTCTCAGAGTGGGTCCAACTCCAGGGCCAGGAAGGGTAGCGGGCCAGGCTTGCACATAGAAATTGCCACCATCTTGGTGGCTGCCCAGATGACCCCCGTCCACCCAGGGCCTGCCAGCTGCCTCCCCCAGACCTCTGTCCCGAAAACCCATGTCCAGAATCCCTTCCAGCTTTTCCCATAAGCTCGTTATCTTCCCTCCCACCCCACTGCCCCCAATCCCACAGTGGATGCTGCAGGCAGAAGTAGGGTGGGGGCACAACGAGAGAGGAGGGGAGAGTGGGGCCCCAGGCAGTACTCACCTCCACCTCCTGGGGATCAGGAAGCAACGCCCGGAAATGAAGCGGGAGGAGAGAGGGAGAGATGGGGATTTCAGTGAGGCCCACCCTCCGACCACGTGACCCCAGGGCTCCCTCAGCCTCATGGCGCCGCTGGGGGTGCTGCATAATGGCCTTGGAGTGCTGTGGTCTCTGACCCCCAGAGCTTCCAACTGGAGGACAGCATTCCTCTGTCCTCACCGCAGATAGCTGAAGACCAGGGCCCACTGAGGGCTGGCCTGAGAGGCCGCAGGGGTGAAACCCACAGCATTGAGAGGGTGAGGCCCATCCTCCTCCTCTAGGCCCTGAAAATGTTCCCAGTGGCCCAGCCCTGTCCCCACCATGAGGACAAATGTCTGAGGGGCCCACGCTTCCTGGGAAAAGTGATTCTCACGCCTGTTCTCTGAACATCCCAGAAACACTGCTCTCTCCCTTTGCTAGGGGGCCCCCCCTTGGCCATCCCCTCCCTTGACACACGCCCACCAGTGAGTGAGGCGGAAAGGCGACCTCCCCTCTAGGCTGCGCTATTTGCACTCAAGGTCTGACTCCTGCAGAGTCCACCTAGTCACTGAGAGAAAGGGGGCCGCAGTCCCTCCAAATGTTGATGGTTACCATACATAGTCCACCTGCAAATACTGAGATGCAGAGGATCCTACACCGGCCCTCTGAGGCCATCTGGCCAAGCCCCCTCTGCATATGGCAGAGGACGGAAAGCCCAGAGACAGGGAATGACCTGCCGCAGGTCCTACCACCGCAGAGCCCAGGTCTCCTGGCTCCCAGCATAGACCCCTCTTCGGGCTACAACACAGTCTCCGGGACACAAGCACAAGGGAGACTACTGCCCACGAGTGGCTGGAGGCAGAGCAGCCCGCACCCAGCCCGGCTTGCTGGCATGAAACCACAAACATGTCTGGTTTTCCTACTTTCCTCTCTGGAGTGGTGGCACTGCTGAAAACCGGCAAACAGCTCCCAGGGTCCTCCTGCTGGAAGTTCTGCCAGGCGGGCAGAAGAAGGGCTTCTCAGGACTGGCGGCCGGCAGTGCCAAGAAGCTGGCTGCCGGCCTCCTCTGGACAGAGGTAGAGGGGCATGAGGAGCCACACATAACTGGCCCCCTTCATTCCAAGTCCCGCCCACCCAGCACTCAGAGCAATGCAGGGGTGCGGTGGGGTGGGGGGAAGAGCCAGATGACTGTCAGGCCCAGGGTTCCAGCATCCCAGGGCTGCAACACGGGGTCTGCAGTGGGCACAACAGAGGGCGTCCACAACTGCTTTGACAGCCCCGGGGCTCTCAAGCCTCCCCTGAGGTTGACTAGCAGCAGGGGAACAGGCAGAGGCAGGGGCCGCATCACCATGGCCTTGCAGGCAAAGGCCAGAAAGTGGCCAGGGCCGAGCAGGCCGTTGGGATGTCCAAGCAGCCAAAGTCCCACAGTCCTTGAGCCCAGGAGCAGGCAGGAGGAAAGTCTCAGAAGCAGCCTCCGGGGAACCTGGCCTGGGTGGCTCCCTGGGCACCGGAGAGACTGGCCCTGGTGCCTACCCAGTTCCACAGGGCGTGGCCTGGGCCCTTCTCAGCCCCTGAGGAAGCTTCTAAGGAGACCACAGGACACAGAACTGAGGCACAATTTCCCCTGGCCCTTCCTCTCCAGAAACTCCTTAGGATAGGGGGGTCTTCTCCTGGTGTCCACTCCACCCCAGGCAGGAAACGGAGGCCGAGTGTTCAAGTGGCTGAGGCAAGTGTAAGGACTGGCCTCCGCCAAGTTGGGGTCTTCCTGGCGGCTCCATCATTCCCTGGGAGGGGGTGGGCACGGAGAGGACAGGCGAAGTGGCTGGTGTGAGTCACCTGCCTCCAGCCAGCAAGGTCTGTATGCCCGGCCCACCGACCCTGCACCTGAACCGGAGTGGGGCAGGGGCCTGTGTGTCGGCCAAGGGCCTCCATGCCTGCTCACCCCACACTCTCACCTTACCCTCCCGCCTCAACCTCCAACCAACCTGCAAGCAGGAACCTTTGGGACTCAGTACAAAGTGGGTTCTTGAAGGTCAAGATCAAGAATTTCTGATCAGAAACTCAAGGGAAAGTAGGGTGGGGGAAGGGGGAGTTTTGAGAAAGATTTCACCATTAAGCTCCTCTGTTAGAGCCCCGATAGGGAGCCATTGCCACCCACCCCCAACCCCTCCCCAATTCATCCTGCAGGGACTGAGGCCCTTCTGGATACAAGACCTGTCCTCCATTCCAGCTGAGCTCTCTACCCACTCTGGGGGCAGGCGGAGGGAGGCCCGAGTGGTCCTGGACCGCAGGACCCTCACTCCCAGGAGGATGGGAATGGTGGACCAGAGAGGGATGAGGACGGGGCCCCAGAGTCACACAGAGTCCCAGCGCTGCCCTTGCCAGCTCATGCTGGGCACACACCCTGACCTCTAGGAGCTTAGCACCCATCTTCTGGGACTACTTAGTGATTAAAGAGGATGGCGTCTGTGAAGTGATTTTTGTCCAAAAAGCACTCAACAAACAACAGCTGTCACAGAAGAGACCATGAGCTTCGGGGAGAGGAAACGGTGGAGAGTGAGGAAGCAGGCAGGAAGGGGCCACAACAGGAGCCCCTGACGTGGAGAAGAGAGAGGCCACCCCAGGGGAGCAGAGACCAGCGGGATGTGAGGAGAGTCTCCCCAAGGGGTCTGCAGGGAAGGGGCACGTGGAAGTCCTGCAGGCAGCACAGGGGCAGAGCCCAGGGACACACTCCGGGGGTGGGGAGCCCCTGAGGTCGGATGTGGGCCGGCCCATCTATACACTGAAAAAGAGGCGTTTGCTGGCAAGTGGAACTGTGCCTTTCAGGCGGCAGTGTCTACTCGTGGCACCCAGTGGGCTCAGTAGCCGTTGTGAGAAATGGTCTGATTTCTTCCCAGGAGAAGGAGGTCCAGTTCTGTCCTGGTTCTGCTACTGACGGGTAAAGGGTGTTTTCCCCCAAGAGAGGATTGACTCTAGGGCTAGGGTCAGGACGGGAGGGAGATGGGTCACAGGCCAAAGGCCAAAGTTCTGGGCAAAGGACGAGTCTGTCTATTTCCCTAGTTGGCTCACCTGGTCAGTCCGGCAGGCCTCCACCACCCCTGTGCACAGCACGGGGCAGGCCCGTGGGAAAAGTGCGGTGCTTTTAAATTAAGTCCTCTCCAAATGTTTTTACAGTATGTGCCTGTCTTCCTTTACCCTCACAGCTCTGTTAAGCAGGCAGGACCCATTAGAATCAGCCCCATAAAGAAGTAAGAACACTGAGGCTCAGAGAGGCAGAGCAGCCGGCCAGGGTTCCCAAGACAGATGAGACAGTGAGCCGAGACTCTCCGACTGGGCCCGACGGCCGGCCCCACACCCCACCTTACAGGTAGGGAGGTCTCTCATTGAGACAGGAACAGTCTTGCACTGAAAAGGGGGCAGGGAGGTACGCAGGACGTTGGACCTAAAATACGCTCTAAACCTGGCTCGTTGTGTGGCCTCAGCAGGTCACTCCCCATCCCAGGTTAAGAGCCCTCTGTGCCACGTGGGAGCCTCTCAGCTATGGCCACACAGGAGAATCACCCGAAGAGCTTCTTCAACCATCCACTGCCCAGCGCCAGCTGAGCCCTCTGCAGTCTCTGGGGATGGCTCCGGGGAGCTCCCGCTGGGGCGGAGCGGGTCGCTGAGTGCGCCCACTGCAGCGGGTCTGAGGGCCTTCGAGCTCCGCATCTTCTGTCTAACGCTCTTCTTATCTTCTCTGGCGTCTTCACCTCTCACGCGGGGCCTCACGGGTGAAAAAGACCAGCGATTCTCTCCCTCTGAGGGCGCCTCTCACACAGCGCAGATGCTCAGTGCCCGAGGGACAGGCTGACTCACTGGACCCCGGTCTCCTGATGGCCCAGTCCAGGCCTTTCCCTTCGGAGCGCACGTCACACCACCCTCTCCAGTCCTTGGGCATCGAGTCAAAGAGTCTGCCCCGTCTTCATCTTCCCACTCTAGCCTGCCCTCCCTTCACCACACCCTTCGCTCCCGCCTCCCCAGCCCCAGCCTCAGCCAGCGCAGCATCTCCTCAGGGGTCTCCCTGCACCCTTCCATCCTCCACACTGCTGCAGCCACAGGGGTCTTTCTAGAACACAATTCTGGCCACGTCGCTCCCGCCTTAAAAAACTCTTCACTGAACATACACTATGTTCTCATTCTGAAAAAACAAAAACAAAAAATGTTTAAACAGGGGAGTAGGTAAAAAGTATTTATACCAAATTGTTAAGTCATTTCCTCTGTGGGGGGAGGAATACAGAGAATTTTAGCATCTTTCTGCCTTTTTCCAAGTTTCCAAATTTTCTACAACATGAATATGTTTTACTTAAAAAATATATTTATTTATTTATTTATTTATTTATGTAGAGGGGAAGGGAGAAAGGGAGAAAAACATCAATGTGTGGTTGCCTCTCACACGTCCCCTACTGGGGGCCTGGACTGCAACCCAGGCATGTGCCCTGACTGGGAATTAAACCAGCGACACTTTGGTTCATAGGTCAGCATTCAATCCACTGAGCCACATCAGTCAGCGCTATGTTTTACTTTTTTAACGAAGGGAAAAACCACCATAAATCTATTTGGAAACCCTCACTGGTTCCCTGCCACCTACAGAAGAAAGTCCACCTTCCCAGGCCATGTCCCTCCAGTGGCTGCTTCGGCGAGGCGGGCCTGGGCACAGCCTTCCTCCCTGTGTGGAATGTGCGTCTGCATCCAGCCCAAGACCTCCTTCCCTTCATCATTTAAAACCCACTCAGTCGCCAGCTTCCCTAACCTGCCCCATATCCAGTTTTCCTTCAGGCCAAAGGCTCCTGGTAGAAGTTTATTATTCTTCCGCTGACACGAGTAATGTTGGCACTCCTGCACTGTTTAAATGGTCAGTGTCTTGAGGGCAGAGACCACATGAAAGTCATCTGTCTGTGCCTAGCCCCTAGCATACAGAAAAAACACTACTCATAACAGGTAACACCTTTCCAGCA